GTATTGGAACATCTGAAAAGGGGGGGGGGGGGGAATCTTATGATAGCAGTTAAGACTTTGCTACTGTTCCCTCTACATTGATGGTTATAATAATCTTCCATAAACAGCCAAGTAGTCCCACAAATAAATGCAAATCGCATAGACATGCTGCAAAAAATAAAAGTTTTCAGGTTGTCCCTTCCCCCTCTTTAGATGTTTATAATTCCACATTAAATGACATTTTACTACAAGTCTGCTCATGCAACTGTATCAGGTTGGTGAAAAAAAAAAGGAGGGGGGGAAGGACAGGAAAAAGTTTTAAAAAAGGAAAACCCCATGGTCTCTCACCCTTCCATTTCATCTCCTTATCTTTTGAACAAAAATCCAAACACTATTATATTTCTTGACTAATAAAACAACACAGAAAAAAGTGGGGTTGAAGTAGTAGAGAAGTGACATAAGTGAAAAGATTGCAAGGTAGTTTAAGGGATGTCATCCTCCCTCTTAAAATCATTAAATCCTGCTGTTTGATTGCTGTGCTTTCAAAGGAAAACAAATACAAGCAAAAAGGGAGGGATTTTTTTTTCCTTGCTGTCCCCAGAAAGCAAATATCCCTACCAAAATCTGCCAGTGTCACTTAAATCAGTCCTATCTCCGCGGGCTCTGCATTTAGTAAACACAAACAGAACGACTGTAGTCAGAAACACGGGGTCACAAAAATCAGGACTAAGGGAAGGTTATTTCTCTGAAACCCCACCCCCTTTCATTAACCTGGTGTCATGACAAGCAACAGCGTCCTTGTAATATTCCAGCAACTGGAAAGCAAAGTGGGGGAGAATTATATACGGAGGAATATAATTGGAATTGTGCTGGGGTAAATGGACCAGCATTGCCTTCCCTTTCTTAAAAAAGGCCAGTCTTCGCATGTACGGAAAGGCGGGATCCTGAGTTAGCAGACTCCTTCAGAGTGCACCGTCTTTTTACAAGGGGGAAAACATTTACAGATGGACTGTCATTCTTCCAGTCCCACAGGCAGTAGAGGTTGTGCTATGACTCTCTGCACAGCCTCAGACCTGGGCATATTATTTCAAGAAAAGCAAAAGGTTCAGGCAGGGCATAACCCCCTACCCATACCACCACAGAGGAGGAGCCGTTGTTAAGCGGGTGCGGTATTTGCAAAAGAGATCTATTTAAAAGGGGGTTCCTGATCCTCAGGTTCCCCCATCACTTCCTCTTCCCAGGGGAAGCTGCTGCTGCTGCTGCTGTGATTAATAACATTTCTTCTCTCTCTCTCCTTCTCTCTCTTCCCCCCCTTCCCATGTACTTCAAGCGGGGGGGGGGGGGGGGGCGAAGAATTCAAGGCAGCCAGGGAATATCGAAATGGATAAGGAGGGCAGGGAGCACCATTCCTCTGATCCAGACTCCGGCAACGCGGGAGAGCAAGGTGGCACAGAAGTCCAAAGGTACGGTCTCTTCTTTCCTCGTCCTCAGGAGCCCCCCAAAACACTCCAGCCTCTCGGCAGGCAAGAGAGAGAGAGAGAGAGATGACAGAATGAAGAGCAAAAAACCCAAGGTGAGGAAGGTTGGGGGGGGGGGGGAACACGGACGACCACCCTAGCCAAGGAAGCTGGTTTCCCTAAAGGACCCACATACACACACTACTCCCTGACCATAACATTCACCCCCCCCATACACACACACACACACACATCTGCTCCTTGCTCTAGGTGCAGCAGAGGCAGGAGGGAGATCGTCCCAGCCAAAAATAGGGTGTTGGGGAGGGAGGGAGGGGGGTTGGCATGTGAGGAAGGCCTCTATCTTCGCCGCCTCCCCCTCCCCAACTCCATGCCACCCACCCACCCAACCCCTGGCACCTTCCAGTTGCTGCCCCCCACCAGGGAAAGTGGGGGGGGCAGGGGAGAAAGAAAGGGAGCCCAGAGATGGGGGGGAGAACACCCCCCCCCCCCATCCCGGAGGGAGAAGGACAAGAAGAAGAGGAAGGGGGGGCACCCCCCCCCCCCCCACTCCGCCCCGGCTTGCCTCGCCGGGTTACCTGGCTTGGTGATCTCCGGGCCACTGAGTCCCATCTTGGCGGCGGCGACGGTGGTGGTGGTGCTGCTGCTGGTGCTGCTGCTGCCGGTGGTGCGGCTGCCGGGGCTCTCTGTTTGGACATTAGCATTGCCTCCTACTCCTCCTCCTCCTCCTCCTCCTCCTCCTGGGCTAGGGCTAGGGCTGTTGCTGCTGCTGCTGCCGCTGCTCACAACATGGTTCCCCAGCAGCCCCCCGGCGACCCTGAGGGGCTCCTGCGCCTTGTGGTGCGGGTGGTGGTGGCCCGAGGCCGCCAGCTGAGACTCCAGGGAGCCCACCAGGTCGCTCACCACCTTCTCATCCACCTCAGCGTTTAGGAAAACCTCATCCAGCAGATCCGACCCAGCCGCCATCTTTTTTCGGAGGGTTCCTGGCGAGCGGCTCCCTCCCGCCCGCCGGCCCCCCCCTCTCTCTTCACTCCTCCCTCTGCCCTCCTCCTCCTCCTCCTCCGCCCTCCCTCCTGCTCTCTTCCCCCCACCCTCCTCCCCACCTCACTCACTCATTTTACACATACGCCGCGCTCCCCTCCCGCCTCGGCCTCCGCCACGGAGCATGCGCGACGAAAAACTCCGCGCGAGCGGGCTGGGAAAGCTTGCGGGGGGGGGGGGCGTCGAGGCGTCACCTCAGCGGCCGGAGAGGGATTCCGTCGGTTCCTGATTGGTCGGCGGCGGGCTATAAATACTGAGGCAAATGGCTGCGAGCGCTCAGACAGCGAACGGGCGGCAAGGGCCCGGCTGCGGCCTAGTAGCGAGAGGGGCCGGCCGCCGAAAGTCGGGCTGGCCGCACGCGCTGGTTGCCGGCCGAAGGGTCGATGTGGGGAAGTGGAGGCGGTGCTACGGGTCGCAGCCGCCGACGCCTCGGGGCTGGCCGCGGCGGTCGCTGTCGTCCTTTGTCTGGCGAAGCCCAAAATGGCTGCATGCTCCGCGGTGGCGGCTGGGTCGCCTCTCGCCAGCGCGCCTGGGGCTCCCTGGCCGGCTCGAGTCTGAAGGACGCCCCGCACCTGTGCCAGTTTATGAAAACAACCCGCCCTCTGGACGGGGAGGCTGGCGCAGAGCGCGGGGCCTGCTACACGGACAGGCCGGCCGCGTCCCGACCTAGCGGGCGTTCCCCACGCTGCCCATCCGTAACCAGCCGGGCCTCGCCGGAAAAGACCCGCGACCTCCTCGCTGACCGGCCTCGGGACGCGGGCGGGGAAGGAGGTCAAGGCTCTTGCCGCGCCCTTGAAGCCCGGCCTGAGCTCGCCTCCGCGTTGGCTTGGCTTTAGCGAGGCTTTCCTCCTCCTCGCCTCCACACTCGTGCCAAAGTTTGGGTGGCCGGTTCTGCCGGACAGTGGCCGCGCACCCCGAAGGACCCCTTCCTCCCCCACCTCTTTTTTCACTTCGGCTGTGGCCCGTCACACATACACACACACCCCAAAAAAATAACCCCCTTTTTTTCTGTTCCCCCCCACAAAAGAAACGCTGCTGCCGTTTCGACGGGAGCTGCGGGTGTCAAAACAGCGTCCTCTCCCGCCTTTCCTTTTCAAGCGCTCAGCTACTTCCTTCTTTTCTTCCGTCAAGCATCGCTTACGCGTCCAGCCGCCTTTTTTATTTATTTATTTATTTATTTTATGGCATTATTATACATACTTGCACACTTCAGGGACTAGTTTGCGAGCAGCTGAAAATGCGTAACGCAGCCATGTCTTCCTACCTTCTCTGCCACGGGCAGTCAAAAATAGACTCCGTCGTGCAAAGATAAGATACAGCTGCTTCATGGGTTTTATTTTTAGGGAGAAGCCAGGGTAGACGTCCTGAGAAGTATCAGCCAAAAGGAAGAGAAGGGAGCATCTCTTTTTTTTTTTTTCTGCCTATAATTCTTTTCTCTCTCTCTCTCTGAAATTGCTTTACTTTTTCATTTTGATTTCCTCAGCTTCTTTCCACATACCCCTTTTCTGATAGTGCCAACCTGATTTTTTTCAGCATTGTACCAAACAATTCTGCAAAAAGAAAAAAAATTCAGGGATCCCTTTGCGTGAACAAAACCATCTGCAAAAATGTATTTTTATTTTTTTTAAAAAAAGGTTAGGTTATTATGTTTTAAAATTGTCTATTCTGGTCCTCGCTGTCTCCTCCCTTCTCCTCCCTTCTCCAGACAAGCAAGAATGCAAAATCAATACTTCACAATGTCAGATCAATTGAATAATAGATCGTTCAGCACACCCTTTGTATTCCATCCCTTCTTTTCTGTTTTATAAGAGTGAAATTGAAAAACATTTTGGGTTTTAATAAGCGCTATCTCCCTTGCAGAGATACCTTATGTTTCTTTTGCCCTTTATTAATTATTTCTGTCTTTTAACCTGCCTCATCCTGAGGAGTCATATTGGGTGGCAATGCTTTATAATTTATGCTTCTAGTCAGGCTTTTAAAATGGTGCAAATTAGAAGGGAAGTAAACATCTATTTAAATTGATGGTTTACTTTAAAAATCAGTGCAAATCGGGGGGCTTTTAAAAATTTATGGAATATTAAGCTCCTGAATTCAAATGAGTCCCATTGCTAAGACAAAAGGAGGGAGTTTTCTTATTCTTAAAAAGTAGTAATAAGATTGAGATTTGCTGTTCGTGACACTACACAGCATGGATTGTAAAGGTCTCTAGTTGGGCAACTGGAGAGGTTAGTGCTCCTTGCAGGAGATACATTAACTGATTTTTTTTTTTATTAAAAAGTGGCTAAGAATAACGAGCACATTATTATATACAAGGGAGCTGCTCATTGTTGTGTTGTCTTTTGTCAATTTTGCAGATAATTGGAAGCTAGCAATGGTATACATTTCAGGCAGTGTTTCTTATCTTGGGGAGTTTAAAATGTGTGGACTTCAACTCCCAGAATTCTCCAGCCAGACAGCAGGAACAGCAACAGAGAAAGTATATCTCCCAGGTATCATGAAATGACATTGTTGATTATATGAGATGCAAAACACGCCAACCCTATCAGAACTAATGGGAACAGCAGAAACTGCCCTGGAAGAAGACAGTGCTGTAAATGTCCTCTGCTTTACAAATATTTACCTTCAACGTGAATTGCACCACAAGGCCCACTATAACCTGTGCGACTTAAGTAGCAGAGAGGCTCAATTACAGATAATCCTTGATTTATGACCACAATTGAGGCCAATTTTTCTATTGCTAAGTGAGACATTTGTTAAGTGAGTTTTGTCCCATTTTATGACCTCTCTTGCCCCAGTTGTTAAGTGAATCACTGCAGTTAAGTTAGTAAAAGGGTTCTTAAGTGAATCTGGCTTCTCCATTGACTTCACTTGTCAGAAGGTCACAAAAGGTGATCCCAGGACACTGCAACTGTCATACATCAGTTGCCAAGCTTCTGAATTTTGATCACGTGAACATGGGAATGCTGCAATGGTCATAAGTGAAATCTCTACAAAGACTTTTCTAGCCACAGTCGCAATTCGTTCGAGTAGAAGCTAAAAGTCCAAGAGAACCCTCAAACTGAATCACACTTGACTCTTCCTGAGTTTATACGGTGTGTCAGGGTAATTTCTTGGAATATCATGAAGTCTTGGTAGTACAGTGATCTAAAGCACCCTGTTATTAAGACCAGCTGCCTGCAATTACTGCAGATTCGAATCTCTCCAGGCTCAAGGTGGACTCAGCCTTCCATCCTTTCTAAGGTAGGTAAATTGAGGACCCAGTTGTGGGGGCAATAAGCTGACTTTGTATAAATATACAAAAGGATGAAGGCTATTGCTTAGCGCATTGTAAGCCGCCCTGAGTCTCCGGAGAAGGGCGGCATATAAATCAAATTTAAAAAAAAAAAAAAAGTGCAGGAGAGTGCCATTGACATATTTCAAGATTTGACTTTGCATTCTAGTCAACACCAAGATTTGCAGGTGGTCTCTCAGACAAATAGTACCAGGGCTAGTTCATCTTAGCTTCCTAGAACAGCCAAGATGGACTAGATCCGTGATGGCGACCTATGGCACGGAGCCCTCTGCGGGCACACGTGCCATTGCCAGCTGCTCTTCTGGTTTCCGGCACACACATGTGCCCTGGCCAGCTGATCTTCACGCATGCCAGAGCCCTGGAAAAAAGACCAGATGGCTGGCGTGCATGCGTGCACCAGAAACCCAAATACCAGCTGCCCAGTGTGTGCATGTGCACCGGCCAGCTGGTCTTCAGGTTTCCGGGGCTCTGGCGCGTGCGAGGACCAGCTGGTCGGTGCACATGCACACACTGGATATCAGAAGACTAGGTTTCCAGGGTTCCAGCGTGCATACGAGCACATTCCGGTTTGGGCACTCGGTGCCGAAAAGATTCGCCATCACTGGACTAGATGCTTGGACTTCCACATTATATATATAATTAACTGGGATATCAAAGCTGAAAATAATATGCAGGTAGTCCTTGACTTATGGCCACAATTGAGCCTAAAATTTCTGTTGCTAAGCGAGACAGTTAAGTGAGTTTTGCCCCATTTTATTACCTATCTTGTCACAACTGCTAAGTGAATCACTGCAGTTGTTAACATGTAGTAATATGGTTGTTAAGTGAATCTGGCTTCCCCACTGATTTTGCTTGTCAGAAGGTTGCAAAAGGATCACATGACCTCAGGACACTGCAACCGTCATAAATACGAGCCAGTTGACAAGCGTCTGGATTTTGACCATGTGACTGTGGGGGTGCTTGCAATGATCACAAGTGTGAAAAACGGTCATAGGTCACTTTTTTTCAGTATTGTTGTAACTTCGAACAGTTACTAAACAATTGGTTGTAAGTTGAGGAATATCTGTATATTGCAAACTTGTTTACAATCTTCAATGTATTCTAACAGATAGTGTTTCATAGCCTCCATCAGAGATACACGTAGATACCAACAGAAGAGAGATCTTAAGGTCCCAGAAATACAGTAATTGACCACTCTGCAAACTATTCTACATTTGCCCTCATTTGCTTAGTAACTGCTAGAGTCTTACATTCGTTGAGATCTTGCTTCAGAACCATTAAATTATTAATTCCAGGTAGTTACGAAGGCTTCAAAAAAAAAAAAACCATTAAATTAAACTGAATTAAGATATCTATGGTAGAAATGCTGTAGTACTGATAAATAGGCAGTACTGTATGCAAATTACCAAAGTCCAGGTTGGCTAGGAACAAGTTACAAGTTGTCAGTCATTCTTTCCTACATAATCATGTACTTCCTTATTTATGCTTTCCTTTACCTTTGTCCTATCTGCTTTTGGTACAAAGCTATTACTAAGCTTCCAAGCTAAAGGATTTTTGCCTTTTCTGTCACCTGCTCTATGTGTAGAATAATTAGTAACATTTGTAATTGGTCCTCAGAACAGGAAAACCAAAAGAACATTTACATGATACAAAATATTTCTGAAGTAAACTTAACTGTAGCTTATACAGCAACAAGGATAGGATAACACGCATGCTTATGATTGCTGCTCAAAGTCCAGTCCACTGTCAAGGAAAGTTAGTTCAGATACAAGCATGAGGTGGACCATGGCCTACATGTGTCAGCTGTCCATTTCCTATATCAAGGAAAAGGAATAGCTTGGGGCCTGGGAATACATTTGGAATATTAAGAGCATGTAGTGGCATTCTTACCATATGACTGCTAAGGGAGAGCTTGACTATCACAGTACAGTATTACTACTGTGATAGTCACTTTTTTTGCCTTCTATTCATATCTGATTGTCAGGCAGAATTTTCGAACAAGTCCCTGAAGTTTTCTTGGCAAGGCTTTGCAGAAGTGACTTGCCCTTGCCTGCTTCCTAGGGCTGAGGGAAAGTGACTGGCCCAAAGTCAGTCAGCTGCCTTCAAAGCAGAACTCAAACTCATAATTTCCCTGTTTCTAGCCTGAAGCCTTAACCATTACTCCAAACTGGCTCTGTATGGTAGTCACAGCTAGTCATAAAATATCTATTTCCTATACAGCAAACAGGTCAGGTTGCTTCCTGTTGCTTGTTTTCTGTGACCACAACATCTGTAGTTTGTCCTTTCTGTGGGTAAGCGTGCACATTGCCAATCAACACTGGGTTGTTGTAGCTGTCCGCCATTTTTATTTTCTTGGTATGCCTCTGGAGTCTGAATTTGAAAGCTTTCAAAAAAAATAAATCACTTCTGGGCTGGAGATCTGCATCATGTTAGCTTCTATTTAGTTAAAGGAATCTAGAACACATTAAAAGAATCAGGCTTGGTACTCATTGGGATAGTTGTAATGAATAGTGGATTATTTGATTTGCTCCAAGAAAGTTTTTCCTGAATGTATATTTTAACTTTGTAACTTTAAAAAAAAAGTCTTATTTTTTAAAAGAACATCTTCCATATAACTGCATTCAGGCTACTCCAAGTCTAAGCATAGATTATTTTAATTATTTTAACCTCATAGTTTAAAAACAATCCAGAATGAAATAGCCACAGAAGTTTTATTTATAGTTTTGATTAGTGTGTGTGTGTGTGTGTGTGTGTGTGTGTGTGTGTGTGTGTGTGTGGTGTGTGTAGGCGACGTTTCAACTAAGTCTCATTCGTCATCTTCAGGCTGGTGTTTTCGGCTTGGTGCTCCTAGAGCACCAAGCCGAAAACACCAGCCTGAAGATGACGAATGAGACTTCGTCAAAATGTCGCCAAGACACTTCCAATTTTACGTGGGAGAAAACCCGAATAACCAAAGACCTACATACAAACACCCGCGAAAACCTCAGAAAACAAATATATATATACATACATACATACATACATACATACATACATACATACAAAAATGTGTGGCTTATACTTCATTGAAAGCGTATTTGATATAGAAGACAAAACACAAAAAATCTAGCTTCGTTGTAGTTTAATACCTTAAATATTGTTTAGAATAAAAATAGATGGAATATTTATCCTACCTAAATATCCTTAATGATTAGGAAGCATGTTCTAAATCATGGGTGTCCAATCTTTTGGATTGCTTGGGTTGCACTGAATGAAGAGGAATTGTCTTGGCTGCATATAAAATATGTAATACATATCACACAATCAGAGGTGGGTTTCAGCAGGTTCTGACCAGTTCTGGAGAACCGGTAGCGGAAATTTTGAGTAGTTCGGAGAACCGGTAGTAAAAATTCTGACTGCCCCACCCCCATCTATTCTCTGCCTCCCAAGTCCTAGGAAATGGGGATTTTACAGCATCCTTCCCCTGGAGTGGGGTGGAAATGTGAATGTAGAACAGGTGTGTCCAACCTGGGACCCATGGGCTGCATGCGACGCTGGACAGTTAGTAATGCAGCCCCACAATATTGTAAAACGTTTAACGTGTGTAGTGGTAGGTTTCCATTTTTTTTACTACCGGTTCTATGGGTGTGCCTTGGTGGGCGTGGCATGGCTTGGTGGGCCTCGCAGGGGAAGGACACTGTAAAATCTCCATTCTATCTCTAAATTATTTATTTCATTATACTCTCCTGAAGCTGTAAAAATTAAAATGCCTCTAATATAAGAACATTGTCTTCTATTAAAATAAATCAATTTAATAATATATTGTACTTACACATTGATCATGTAGTAACATGAAGCCATTTTTATTGAGTTGTTCGGTTGGTTATAGACAACATGGCCTCTGGCACTCCTTACGCTGAAAATACAAAGCTGTATGAACATACTGTAGTTTATCCCCACAGTAAGGCAATATGCTTTGGAGTACCTAGGAAAATGTTGTCCATCTCACTCCATGTCTGAGCATGGCGATATTGCCAGGGTGAAGAAGTGATAATGCTAATTCCTTTCTCATGAAGACTTCTAACATCATTCAGTTTTACAGAGAGAAACCAGACAGAGAAGTAAATCCTTTGTTCTTAACATAATGAACCTGGACAGATGATCCATATGTGAAGACGTACACTGGATGCAAGATGAGGAGATTTTAGATTGTATATTTGAAACTTCCAGTGGGGGTTTAAAAAAAAAATCAGCATTCCATTTGAAATAATAAAATTCAGTATTAAACACTAGGAAGAAGATTCTGCTACCCCATTCTATAAATCAAATCTAAATCAAGTTATTGAGAAGATGAAGGAAGCAATTCTAGAAACAGAACTGGCCAGCGTCTTGCCAGCACTATGTTCAAATGAACTGCCTGACTTAGTACAACAGACTGATCCATTCAACATACTAAGATAATGGTTAGGTTCATCTAGCTTGGTGAACCACAAATTAGCAAATACATTTTAGCATGTTGTGTGAACTTAAGAGTTAAACATGTTCAGTTTTATTAAAATGAATAGTTTTGCTGTGGAGTTTATTAAAATAAACTGCTTGCTTCTGGTTGACTGAGTCATTTTTTACTGTTTGTTTTTATGTCTTCTTTCATCAGAGCAGTTCGTGTAAGTAAAATAGTATAATATGCTCATACAATTATAGTTGTGAACAAGAGACCCATTTTGGGTTAGTGGTTAAGACACCAGGTTAGAAACCAGGAGACTGAGTTCTAGTCCTGCTTTAGGTATGAAAGCCAACTGGATGACTTTGAACCAATCATCAGGAGACTGAATTCTAGTCCCACTTTAATAATGAAAGTTGGATGGGTGACTGATCCAATTACCAAGAGACTCTGAATTCTACTCCACCTTAGTCATGAAAGCTGGCTGGGTGACTTTGGGCCAATCACCAGGCGACTTTGAGTTCTAGACCCAACTTAGGCAGGAAAGTCATCTGGGTGACTTCAGATCGGCCACTTTCAGCCCAAGACATCAAGCTTGGATGACAAGCCAATCGGTCAATTCCTGTTGCAACCAATATACCCTGTACTTGTGGAAAAATGCTAGGAAGAATTGTTATTTTTTATTGATTTTATTATCAAAATGAAACAAAAAAATACAAAATGAAACAAGGGTAAAACAGTGTAAATTGTGACCTAAAGGAGTTTAGTTTTCAAAATTCCTTTTGCAAATGTCTGTATAGTTAAGTCTTCAACTGCTATTTAAAAGAAGGCTGTAAGTTTCCTTTGGGAAAGAGTTTCTTAACTCAGGCACTGCTATGAAGGCCTTATTCCTGGTCAATGTGATGCAGGGCAGACCAAATTCTGGGACCCTAAATAAGTCCTCTTCAGGATCCAACCTGAGTCGGTCACTGGGACCAAAGGTTTATTCTTCCAAGCTTTCTGGTTCATGATGGAGCCCATCATTGGGGAACTTCTTTTTCCAGAATATGCACTGGGTGGTTCTACATATTGAATTTATATGGTTGCTGGTTGTGTGTAGTTTTCAGTTGTAAATTAAAGCTGTTGATGGCTGACTTTTTAGTTAATTGTTTCCTTGTGCCACCTTGGATCCTAAGTATCTGAAAGGCTGGTAGTAAGTCAGCACTCCTATTGATTGACAAGGGGCCTGTTTCCCAGGCTTCAATCATTTCTCTGGCCATTTTTGACCCTGCTCGGCCAACAATCATAGCTGCAAAATTAAATACCTGTCCTTATTCCAGTATCCTGGGACACATATATTTTCATTCATGAGGTCCTCTTCAGTTGGTCTTACTGGATAGCATTGGGAGAGGTAATCTTATAAGTACCAGGACCCCATGTGCTTTAAAGCAGTATGTCAAAATGTCAGCATCTTAACTTGGGCTCATTAGTAACTATAGTAATACATCACTTTGTATCCACGTTCTGGATGATCCTATTTTACATCCTACTCCCAACACATCAATATTCCAACAAGTGGGAACTTTGGTTTCTGAGTTTCTGGACCATTTTTAAAGAATTTCGCATAAATTGCAGTAATCCAGTTATGAAGCTATTAATGTATGAATTGCTGAAGCTAGGCTATGCCAGTTTAAGATATCCAGTCCTCACCTGCTCAAAACTTGGTCAACACTTTCTTGCTACTAAGGCTACCTATATATATCAATAATACACCTGCTCCTTTAGTGAAATTGTTATCTACCATATGCCATCTTCCTAATTCCCAGGCCCGAGAACCACCTATTTACATTATCTCTGTCTTAACTGCTTCAGTTCTTTTGAAATTTCTAAGCAACTCTTAATAGAATAGAATAGAATTCTTTATTGGCCAAGTATGATTGGACACACAAGGAATTTGTCTTTGGTGCATATTCTCTCAGTGTACATAAAAGGACAAGATACATTCATCAAGAATCATAAGGTACAACACTTAATGATAGTCATAGGGTACAAATAAGCAATCAGGAAACAATATCAATATAAATCGTAAGGATACAAGCAACCAAGTTACAGTCATACAGTCATAAGTGGGAAGAGATGGGTGATAGGAACGATGAGAAGATTAATAGTAATGCAGACTTAATGAATAATAATAATAATAATAATAATAATAATAATAATTTTATTTCTATACTGCCCTTCTCCTGAAGGACTCAGGGCGGTGTACAGCCTATTTAAAAACACAGACAAAACAATGATATAAAATTTAAAATAATTAAATAAGTGGCTCAAATTTAAAACCCCAATAAATTTAAATACCCCAATTTAAAACTATTGTGTTGATAGTCCGGCCTGGCGGAACAACAGTTTGACAATGTTGAGGGAATTATTTGTTTAGCGGCGTTTGTGAAAAAACTGTCCTTGTGTCTAGTTGTTCTGGTGTGCAGTGCTCTATAGCCTCGTTTTGAGGGTAGGAGTTGAAACAATTTATGTCCAGGATGTGAGGGGTCTGTAAATATTTTCACAGCCCTCTTTTTGACTCGTGCAGTATACAGGTCCTCAATGGAAGGCAGGTTGGCAGCCATTGTTTTTTCTGCAGTTCTAATGATCCTCTGAAGTCTGTGTCTGTCTTGTTGGGTTGCAGAACCAAACCAGACAGTTATAGAGGTGCAGATGACAAACTCAATAATTCCTCTATAGAACTGGATCAGCAGCTCCTTGGGCAGTTTGAGCTTCCTGAGTTGGGGCAGAAAGAACATTCCTTGTTGTGCTTTTTTTATGAGTAAGCGTAATTTATCTATTGATTCAATTTTATGCCACACAACTCTCAACCACTCTAGGTGGCTCACAATACACCAAAATAATATCAGAACAATATAACAGGGACTAACCACAGGCTTGGACAAAGAAGAAAAAAAGAGCAAAATGGCAACCCCCCCAAAACATCCTGCGACTGACATCCAATCAGGGTTCATCAATCCCTCTAAACTAACACAAGGGCTAGGAGGACAGCCAGGCCTTTAAGGCTTTCTGGAATGAAAAGGGAGGGACCCATTCAGATTTCGGGAAGAACTTCATTCCAGAGGACTATTCTAACCTAGGCTTCCCAAGAACATGAAGCAGACTCCTTGTCCTGACAAAAACCCCTTTTTATTCATATCCAGCAAAGTCTTTCAAGGGAGAATTTACAGTCACAGACCTTATCTGGCTTGGAGAGCTGCCAGGCCGATACCTTCAAAACTTGGCAAGAAGTCTCTGAGAGTCACAAACCAATTAAGTGAACTAATTGTCTCCTGCAATCTCTTCTCCCCTTTCGCTCCTCTTTATTCCCTATGGGAGGGGCCATTCACCGTCCACCTGTGGCTTTACTCCCAAGTCGACCCTTGTTCCTTAGCTGTTCCCTTCTCCTGGCAGCTCTGCGCGTGCACACATCAGGAACAGGCTGCAGCTGTTCTTCTGCCCCACTGATGTCCAACTCCGAAGGCAGCTAACAACTGTCAGACGGCCCTGGCCCCATCTCTGCTTCCCGATGCAGAGCACTCATCAGAGCCTTCCCCAGACTCCAGGACGGGCTCATGTTCCTCCCCAACCTCCTCACAGTCTGAGTCTGCTACCAGCTCTGCTGGCCGCTGGCAGGCTACAACAAGGACAGGTGCTGCAACAGGGAAGGGTCTTTTGTCATCTTTAAGTGTTAACCCAAGTGTATTCCTAGAGACCAGTTCTATTATTAATGCAATTCCGATGGCAAATTCTTCTGCAACATAATAAACATGCCTAACAGAGAAATAAATCTGATGCAAAAGGTATCCATGTTCTTTAAAACAGCCTGGACATTGCAAAAAGACCAAATGGGATAACTGAATTGGTGAGTAATGTGTTTATAGAATGCCACGTCAGTCCCGTGTTGAAACAGCTGCAAATCACGAGTTATTAATGGATCCAAGCCAAGGTGCTCCCTGAAGCATATTAAAACCTTACACAGGTAGTCCTCAATTTAACAACTATAGTTGGAATTACGTAGTATTTTCATAGCTCAGCAAGGAGGTTGTTCAGTGAGTCATGCCTGAATTTACATCCTTTTTTGCCATGGTTGTTAAGCAAATTGCTGCGGTGGTTCAGTGAATCACAGAGTTGTGAAGCAAATCCAGCTTTCCCCGTTGACTTTAGCATAGAATAACAGAGTTGGAAGGGGCCTCGGAAGTCATCTAGTCCAACCCCCTGCTCAGGGAGAAAACCCTATACCATTTCAGGCAAATGGTTGTCCAATCTCTTCTTAAAAATTTCCAGTGTTGGAGCATCCACAATTTCTGAAGGCAAGTCGTTCCACTGATTAATTGTTTTAACTGTCAGGAAATTTCTCCTTAGTTCTAAGTTGTTTCTCTCCTTGATGTTTCCACCCATTGCTTCTTGTCCTGCCCTCAGGTGCTTTGGAGAATAGGTTGACTCCCTCTTCTTTGTGGCAACCCCTGAGATATTGGAACACTGCTATCATGTCTCCCCTGGTCCTTCTGTCACAAAATCACAGATGATGATTCCTTGACCCTGGGACACTGCAGCCATTGTAAAATACATACCAGTTGACAAGCGCCCAAATTTTGATCACAATACTAGGGAGGGTTAATAGTTGTAAGTACAACGGCTCAGGGCCATTGTAATTTTGGACAATTGCTAAATGAATGGATGTAAATTGAGGACTCCCAAACACTATGACTTAACGCTGAGTTGCAGGACTTTCTCCTGCCATACAATCTATCCGTGCTGTTAGATTTTTCACCTTTTTTGGGGGGGTATTGGAACTAAACTTGGCCCCCTCCCAATCTTTTTTCTACAATTTAAGATGAGGCTAAAAACAAACCCAGGCCTTTTCGTTTAGAGTTTATTTTTGCTGCTGGGTTTCAATGTTTTTGATCGTTACTGTTTTAAATGTCTTTTTTTTAATTGAATTTTGGGTGTTGCAAGCCATTTAGAGCTAAGCAATAAGAGAAGGCAACATAGATATTTGAAATAAACGTGAAATGACAAACGGTTAGTTAATAAACACACAACATGCATGCATACCCGAGAAATACGTACATACCACTGTGTTTCCCCAAAAATAAGACCCTGTCTTATATTTTTTTGAACCCTGAAATAAGTGCTTGGCCTTA